CCCCCCCTTGCTTTTGCCACCCACAGTCTCAGGTCTCTGCCCCATCTCCTCCCCCTTACCTTTGCTCCACACTGGCAGCTCCACCCCTGCTGCAGCCTGGGGCATGGAGCATGGCTTTAGCCTGACTTGGTAGAAACAGTGCTGCTGCTACAGGTCTAGGCTAGAACAGCAGGGCTGGTAATGTGCCACTGCTGCTAGGCTGGGCTGGAGCCATGCTCTGTGCCCCAGGCTGCAGTAAATGTGGAGCTTGTTGGTGCAGGGCAAAGGTAAGAAAGAGGGTGGCAGAGGGGATAAGGTGCAATGGAGGGAATGCAGAGGGCAGGGTTCGGGGGGTGGGGGAGTAGGGGTTGCACAGGAAGAGTGGCATGACATGCAGAGGCAGTGGAGAGGGGCAGGGAGCAGTTGTTGCTCTGGTTCCAGTATCAGCCCCAACCCTGAGTTGTGGCTGGAGCCACAGCAGCTGCCTGCCCCTGGGTTGCCTCGTGCTTGATTGCAAGGCAAGGTGCTTTTTCCCCTCATGTTAAATGGGTATGAGGGGTGGAAAACCTTGTCTAATTGAATAGATATGGTATATTATTCAGAAGTAACCTTCAACTCCTTTAAGAATTGTGGTACTAAATGATATTCTAACTATACGAGTTGTACTGAAGACCCTTCATACAGTCAGTATTTAGCTATTTTTTCTGCTTTATTGATTCAATGTAACAATCTATTTTAAGCATCCCTTATTTCTTTGTGTAGCCACGCTCCAGCACAGCAGCTATGATGTTCAAGGGACCAGGGAAGGTGGTGATGGTGGCTATATGCATGTAAGTGTGAAAAGGTAAAAGTTTTTGTATAGCAAGTATAAAAACAGTAAATCTTAAGAATGGAAGTAGTCTTCACATTTTAAGTTTTATAGTTCCTTATATTCTTTGTAATTCTGTGGTTGTGTAACTGTATTAGAATTGTGCTGTAGAAAGTAAGCTTTTTCTAAGAGGCCAGAGTGTTAAACGTATGTGCCTTAAATGGCTTGACTTTCAAAAGTACTAAAACTAATAGCTTCCTTTCAGATTTAGGGTCCCTCTTGGGAACTGAAGTGCATTTCTTTATTCTCCTTTTTTTGTAAAACAATGAAGTACTGCAATAGCATCTCTTAAGATTTACTTTAGCAGATGTGCGTCAGTACATTTCTATTATTCTGTTGAATATCATAAATGTATTCAAAATAAGTGATACATTTTATGGTAGTGTATCCTTATGTTAAAACGTGGTTTTCATTTCATGTAATCTCTAATGATTTTTCCTAGTTTTTAGCAAAATTCTACTAAAGAAATCATGTAATGAAATAAGAGTTTGAATAGGCTAATCTCATGTGCTAAGTCGGATATCAACTGGAATGTACAAATATAGTTGCCGTGTATTGGTAAGCAAGTTACCGTCTTTTTTTACAAGTGTCTTCTCTTTTTATGTGGAGATCAGAGAGATTTGTTCCATCCTTGATCAAAGAATGGCTAGTCTTTTTGAAGTTGGTCAGCCACACAAGTAATACTTGAAATAGCAACCAAAATTTTTGAAGAGGGACTGCAAAGTTGGACACATCTAGCTTGTTCCCTTTCATATATTCTGTACTGTACATGAGGTTCTTTTTGCGTTTAGAAACGCATTGTTACTTGTGTGCGAGAATTTTAAGTTGGCAGAAAAAATGCTTTCTGCACACTTGGTGGATTTCTCAAAGACCCTGTTGGGTAATATGGAAGTGTTGAATTTTTCATAAGGAAGGCTTTGTTGCGCGTCTCGTCCATTTCCCACCCCGCAATGTTTTATAAAAAATTGAGTTAAATTTCATTGGAAAACTTGTCTGAAAACTATTACTAGTATCCAGTTGAAAAAGCAAGGAGGCTTGTAACATAAAAGACTCGCAGAAGAGCCGTTCTAGAGGAGGAGTGCCAGAAGATATGCCTTGGTAATACCAAGTGAATCTTATTTGAAGGAAAACTGAATTTATTTCCAAAAAATATTAATTTCCATAGATACTATGAAAGAGCACAACATACCAGACCTACAAAGAAAGCCTAATTTCAGGGGAAATAGCTCGTGGAGTTTTCTTATAGCCCTTCTCTTCCCCCCCAAACATACAAAGAGGGCAGTAAATCATTTAATTTGTGAATGACCATTCCCTGTCTCTTAATGGATTATATAGTTACCCACTCTTGTTCACTATACGGTAACCACCCCGTGAGCATGTGCTCTAGAACAGTGATCTCCAAACTTTTTTGATCGCACACCCCTATCCGTAAAAAAAAATTTTGAGCACGCACCCCCAATATATGTATATTTATATAAATATAAATAGAAGTTCTAATATTTTCTTCCTGCACCCCAGTGAATTGTCTTGCGCACCCCCTGTGGTGCATGCATCCCACTTTGGAGACCACTGTTCTAGAATGCCTAGAAAAATGATTTACCTAGCATTGCTCCCTTCCTGCTTTTCCATATTGGAGATCCATGCAGAGATCCTGCCTTTCTAACTTAGAAGTGAGCATAACCACAAATGTTTTGTTATCTACTGAATTCCTGACTGTGTGTACTCCTTTGCAGATTAGAGCTCCATACTAGAGAGAGATACCTGGCAGCGTGGTGGTCATTGAGGAGAAAATTCTCCTCTTCAGCCATGCAGAGGTATAGCCTTCTGCATGGGATTAGCCTAGATCTCTGTGGGCATGTCTACACGAGATGTTATGTTGCGGTGGTGGCGAGCTGTGGTAACGTAGCTTGTTGCTGTGGAGATGTAGCGTTGGCTGGCACAAATGGTGATGCTGCCGCTACTGCACAGTAGCAACAAGGGTACTAGCTCATTGCTACTGTGCTGTAAGGTCAGAAATGACACATGCGGTGCTGGGACTGCACTGTACTGGTGGTTATTGCACAGTTGGGCGCATGTGTAGATGTGCCCACTGTATCTAAAGTATTTGGGGGCAAGCTATACATAGATAGACATAAATTGTGATTTTTTTTTTTTACAGAAAAGCCAACTGTTGCACACCCCTGAAAAATATGGTTGGTTTTTTTTCACAAATACTTTTCCTTTTGGGCTCCTCTAGTAGATTTTTTTTTTTTTTTTTTTTTTTTAAATCATGGGCTTGCGTATTAGCCTAGAGCTTCCAGTCCAGGGGTACAGGACTCTGTTAAATGTAGCTGGTTCCTAAATTGTTTTACTTCTAAAACACAGGAATGTGGCTTTTGTTTAAAGCTTCATTATAAAAAATACAGGAAAAAAACCAATATTTGCCAAATAAAGAAGAACAGATATTAAGGATATACATTTTTCATGGTCATGCTTCATAAAGATTATTATATTGTCATGCTAACATGGTTATGTTTGAGATGGCATGTCTCAAAGATAAATTTGTAGGGGTTTGCATGATAACTTTTTTCCAAAAATTTACAAATCCAGATGAAATTTATCATGTGTATTCTTTTTCTAAAAGTGAATATAAGAAAGATCAAAAGAAATGTGATCAGTCACTTTCAAATGTAGCACAGAAATATGCAGTTCTTTTAATAATGTTCAAATGCATTATTAATCTATATGAGCTTGACTTCAGTCGTATTGTGTACTTTTCATAGTCTTCTGTGAGGGTTTAAATTGTTGAGAGAAGTTTATAAAGTGAAAACCAATGTTGCAGTCCCTTATTTTTCTTAAAATGTGTGCCTTTCTATTTAGGCAATTGATTTATATCACAATTAACATAAATAAGTTAAATCAACAAGCAATAAACTTTTATTTTTTATTATTATTATTATTATTATTTTAGAATAACTAAAAAATACATATTCAATGCAAGATTAAAATAATGAGTGGTAACTAATGAAAAATGTTGATTTGAACCAAAGGTAGCCAATACACTAAATTTGATAGTATTTTTGGTTTTGCCCACTAGAAAGATGCACCATCTGTAATTTTTAAGCATGCATTTATTCAGATAGTTAACTTTCAAGTTTTACTGTTAGAAAATACTAATTGACTTTTCTTTGTATTTGCTGCTTGATTAGGGTGTGTGTGTTTTTTGTGTTTTTGTTTTTTGTACATGTACGTTTTGGATGGAAACTAGAACATCAGCATTAAAAATATTCATTAGTTAAATATACTAGATGTATAAGAAAAAATGTTTCTCAAAACATGTTTTAAATTCAAAGGCAACTTTTTAATTAAATGGGAAGTAGTCTCTGAAGTTAATGGATTGAACTGTTTTTTGTCTCTGGTTGTTATTTTCAGGACATTAAAACTAGTAAATTTTAGCTTTTTGTACGTATACTTTATTTAAGCTTTCGTGTTTCAGTTTGTTTCGTTGCTCAACTTTGAATGAGCTAGTTATTAAACTAAATTAAACAATAAATTGAGCTAAAGAAAATATTTCTGCTGCACTTGCAGAAGGGGCTACAGTTGTCTGAAACCTAGATTATCACTTCAGTGTATTCTGGCTGCACATATTTAATTGGTCGCTTCCCTCACTTCACTGGATTTTTTTTTTTAAAGCAGTAAAAATGTACAGGCAACCCCACTTAGTGCTCTTAATTGGTTTCTGAAAAACCGAGTGTTAAGCAAAACCGAAAGTTTTTGACCCAAGATGGCGACTGTGAACGTTATAACAAAACTTGCTGAGTGCTAAGTGGAACTGGGTTATCAATTTTAAATGAGCATTATAGTGAAACAGTACTGAGCAAAACAGCATTAAGCAGGGGCTGCCTGTAGTGTGGTCTGAATATTTATATAACTTTTATTAATTTAAATGACTATTGTAAGTTTAGGTCTTAACATAGCTTGTCACAGTTGGAGACTTATTCTTGAATAAATTTATTTTTAAAAAGATGCACTTTTTTAAAATCTATCCTCAGAGAGCTACACAACAAAGAACTGAATACAATTCCAGGAGCAAATTTAGATATTTGTACACTTGATAGAAAACAGGTAGTTTAAAAATGATTTTATTAGCTACCTGTTTTCTGCCAAATGTACAAGCATCTAAATTTGCCATCCAAAGAAACAGCTTGACAGATCCATATTCTCCCAGAGTTTTATTCAGCCCTTTGTTGTGTAGCTCTTTGAGTTTCTCCATTTTTTTTTCCCCTTGGGCATCATAAGTTGTTTGGCCCTTGCGCCTTAACTTCTGTAATCAGATTGAACAGTGCTGAAGTTTATTTTTCCTCACAGTAAACACAAACTTGGAATGGGGGTTGAAGTCGAATGTCACTCAGCTACATATACCCTCTGTGTCACTGTAGGATGTCAGAAACAGCATAGCTGGATGACCTGTTCAAGCAAACTGATTGGCTCCTTTTAAATCAACATGGGAGTATACTATTGTGACTTGATACTTAAAATCTATGAGTCAGGAAAACGTCATCTTGAGTTCCACAGCAATTTATGTATTATTCATCTGTGCTAAAGCCACACTGTACTTTGGATGAGAAGAGCAGTTTTGTAATTAAAGCCAGAGGACTGAAATTTTGTTTAGTTTTGCTACAGTGACTCTGGGCTGTTCATTAACCTGTGTGTATTTTCTTGTTTGGGAAATATGTATAATACTTCCCAAGGGAAGTATCTCAAGGGATGTTATGAGGCTAAAATAAAGTTTGTAAAGCACATTGAGATCTGTGGATAGAAAGCAACTTGGGGCTTCAGTAATAGTGATGCAAACCTTTTATGTTCCTGAGGGAAAGCCTTAAGATTAATAAGTTATTCAGTAATAAGTGCATTCCTAAATAAGAAACAGATTTGTCTGCATAAGGAGTTTTATTTTTCAGCTTTTTGGCCATTGTTTATTAAATCACAACTGTAACATTTCACTAATGTGTTTTTTAAATAAACAAAACCTCACCAGACTAACAGTGGTCTAATATTGAGCATTCTTTACTCTGGGTAGGACCTACTTAAGGTTAGAGAGACAATTATGATACTCGAGTTTGGGGCAAAACCAAAGATACGGCCCAGGAGCCAGCCAGCTTCAGGATTGTTAGAGGAGCTGGGAATTCAGGGGTGGAGCGAGTGGGCTGCTGCTGAATTCCCTGCTTACAGAGCTGGATGTTGTTTGGGAGGGAGGGAGAGGGGAAGGAATGCAAGTGATGGCTGCATTGCCCTGCTTTGCCTCCCTTACCGTGCTGCTTGTTCTGCTACAGCTGCATGGCTTACATACAGCCCATTGAGGCTCCTTGTGTACCACATATGGCTCATTGAGGAACCCTATGGTCTGGAACTGGCTTGGGGGCCTGGGTGAGTTGGACACTCCTGCTCTAGTCTGATTTCCTGTGTCACATGTAGAATTTAATCCAGTAACTCGGGCAGCTAGTGGTTGAACTAGAGAATGTCTTTCAGAAAGATGCTTGTCTAGTTTTATAATCAAGTTTAAGAAACTCAAGCAGTTTCCTGGTCTGTACAAGACACAAATATGTACTTTTGGCCTGCTCTGTGAGATTGGCTGTCCTTTCTTTAATCTGTTTCCAAATTACAAAGGAAAAAGCAATGGAGATTGTATTTTCTTTCCAATTTAATGACCTCCCCCTTGTCTATACTACTGTGTTTGCATGGATTTGAATTGGACTTCAGGATCAGAGGATGCTATGCTAGAATTGAGTGGGGCCATGTAGAAAACTCAGAATAAAATGGGAGAACCAGTTTTGAAGCTTATGCTGCTTTGGTGAGGGGGCAAAAATCCCCCTAAAATATTTATAAACTGCAAAAGCATTGGGCAGTGTCTTGGAAGTGAAGGTAGAGGAATTGGAGTTTTGTAGCTGTAATGGTCCAGGAAACATCTGAGAGGCAAGGATTTTGATGGAAACTCCCTTGAGGTTGGTGTTAAACCTGAGGAAGGACTTGTAAAGCCTAAAAGCTTGTCCAGTAGCTCTTCTAACTATGCAGTTGGTCCATTAAAAGATACCACAAATATCCTTGACCCTCAGACAAATCTATCCTGAAGTTACAAGTATACTTTATGAGGTAGAATTATTTCAAGAAAATATATGTTGTTCAAACTAATTGAATCTTTTTATACCTTTTTATTCAATTGAAAATATTTCAATGCAGAAAATATTTTAAAAATGTAGGTACCTTGACTACAAGTACTAATCATCAAATTGGCTTCTAGTTGAATTTCTTTCTTTCTGATGGATAACACAAGGTTATACAAAAATAGGTTTCATAGTATTTTAAACAACAAATGTTAATTTTATTATAGTGTTACGAACTCCTGATTTTCTTCTCTTCCCTCCTAGAAATGGGTTGAATTTCGTCTTCAAACTACTTGCTTGGGTTTATACTGGTTCTGCAAGCATGTTTTCGGAAGCTATACATTCTTTAGCAGATACTTGCAACCAGGTGAGTAGTTATTTTGTTGCCATGATTTAACTTTTTGGAAACTAACTAAAATCATTGAGAAAACAGTTTTTCTGCAGTTGTATTAATAGATGATGCTCTCTACTCAGAGAAGGTTGGCTGAATCCTGGCAGTAACTAGTTAAGCAAAAAAAAATGATAGGGTTCCTTACAAGTAACATTGGGAATCAGCAAAGTTAAGTATCATTTTGTTTAATTAGCATTTTGTTTATCATTTTGAGACTTGGGTCAGGTGGCAGAGTGCTTTGTTGAAGGGCATTTTTATGATATAACACTAACATTGGGGTGAGGCTGGAGACCAGAATTTGAAGCTTTTAAAATGTCTTTAGTTTTCAGTTTAGACTGTAAATAGAATCTCTGTTTTGAATGGATGGTTCACAGGATCTAATCCATTTCATATTGCAATTATTTTTGCTTCTTCAAGCTTCAGGAGACACTTTATTAATGTCTATAGCTTTGCATGCATTTTCTTAGTAAGTATAGTAGCAGCTAACACTTAAGAACAGCTTAGGTTTTTTACATTCAGGAGCCATTCCAACTTTGCCAACCCTCATCAGTCAAAGGAACTTAGATTGTTGTCACACCTGGGAAATGTAGGGTGTGTTTTCATGCTTCAGTTACTTCATTAGTAAATAAATTTTACCAGGCAGCACTGCAGCAGATACTGCAGAAAGCAAAGCAGCAGAACAGGCAGGGGGACAGTGTGGGTTAGTTTGTGGCATGCCTGCCAAAAAGGTTGGTCCCCCACTGCTCTAGGAATTTGATCTTGTATTTTCGTTTTCTGTATCGATATCATTTATTTGACAGACCACTTTTTAATAACAGAATTGTTGAATTCTTATTAACACTCTAGCCTAAAATTTTTGAATGAGTTGCGGCTGGAAATTTTGTAACCATTTGTTTTTTACTAGTAAAGTTTGGCTTAGTTGAAGTTAGTGCTGTTGTAGTTTTTGTTTACATACATTTAAGATATTAAGGCAATCCTGAATATTTTAATGCCTTTTAGTTGTTTTTCCTTTTTAAATTATGAATGCCCCATAGTGTCAACCATGCTTTATGAAATAAACCCTTGTTTTGGTTGTTTTTTAACTCTCTCAAGTTGCCAAGTAAAATAATATACAAAGATGTTAAATAAAGCTGTTAGTCAAGTGCACAGAATTCATGTTGCCTATGCAACTGAATATGCCTACTTTATGCAAACATATTGTAATGATCTTGTGTATCTACCTAGGAAGTCAGTGTCTGAAACGGGAAAGGAAGCCAGGTATCTGATGTACCAGATACAAGAGCATCCTCCATTCTCTTGTACCTTTATGCTTCATTCATTGCCAATGGTGTGGTTATGTAGAACAAATAATAGCGATTTGTCCAGTTAAACACTGCATCATAATGCACGTTAGGTGGGAGAAATTAAGTTCTCCTGGGTAACTAGAGATCTGGCATTTCCAAACTTGTGGTGGTTTGACTTTCCCACATCAACACCTTTAACAGATAACATTTGAAGAATTGCATAAGTTTTATGTTCTTCTGTTTCAAAAACAGTTGCATAAGTTCTATTTCATAATGTTAGATCCCATGCTTTGTTTCTTTCTGGGTCATTGACAAGTTTTGAATCCAAGACAAGCTTTAGATAAACGGTACAAACTTCTACCACTATAGCCATTACCCTGTACATGCGTTACCTGCTATAGAGTGATGCCACACACTGTGCTATTTATCGTAATATTCTCCCAAGGCAGAGGTAGTATAGCACTAGTGTGTGAAGCTCTGCCTTGTCCCCTTTGCTGCAGCCCCAGGTTTAAGAACTTGGAGATAGGAAGGCATACCTAATGGGAGTGGCTGGAACACTTTAACAGTTCTGGTCAACAGAGTTCATGGGCTACTTCTAAAGTGAGGTTTTCATGAACTAAAGCAACCTTGTGGTAATTCATTAATTTTGAGGGGCATGTTAGCTTCCGAGAGCAACAAAGTTGGGGAGATTTAAAAAAAAAAAAAAAAAGTGTTATAATCATCTTCTCAAGCTTTGCAACATGTGCTGCATCTCTCTGGAAAGGGGCAGCATAGTATGTACCCTCAATGTTCTGTTTCCTATTCTTCCAGACGGGACCTTGCATAGTTGTTTACTTGTTCCAACTGAACAGTGAGGGGACTGATACTACCAGCTTAAAGATATTTAATAAACATGTGGAAATTGTCTTATAAATGAGGTCTTACTGATAAGTTCATCAAAGAAGGTCAAGTAATAGGGTAATCACATTTGACAGCGTGACTTTTATGTATTATTTTCCAAAGTACATGCAACAGGTCACTTCTGACTTCAGTTCAGAAATGATAAAGAAAAGTAACCTTGCTTTATTTGTGTTCTGTATGTGCGAATTCACTCTTATGTGATGACCCTTTTTATACCAAAAATTCATTATATGTGAGGTAAACTCACTCGTGTGATCAGTGTGGTGGAAGCCTGCAGTCAGCTGCATTGTAGGAGTGACTCGCACAAAAATATAGTCTCCTGTGTGGATCTGTGCTCCTCGCTCATTGTCTGTGATACGTGTTTCTGTAGTTGCCATCCCCATTATGGTAACATTCACCACCACCCTGGGCTTGTGTGTACTGTCTGCTGTTTTTGAGTACCAAAATTATGTTGTGAAAGTGGTAGAAATGGGTCTGGGGTCACTACAGTCGAGGTCTTGGAACATATCCCTATTTGTTACATTGTAAAGTGGATTCCCTGTATGTGAATTTGTGTCATGCGCTGTTTTCCAGGAACGCATGTACAGCATTAAGGGGAAACCTGTGTATAATAACAGACGTCTTCTCAAGTATTTCTAAGTGAGCGGTATATATTCATAAAGCACACTGCAAGGACTTAAGCACATACGTAAGCTCCTTAACATGTTTAGGTTGATGTGTTTTTAAAGTACATGCTTAATCCTTGGAGGATAAGGGCCTGGATTTATAAAGGATTGCATTACCAGAATTTAATACGTGTCTAATGATATCACAATGTATCAATTCTTTTATACAATCAGATTTTCAAGATGTAGGAAATACTAACATATATTTTCTAGGTTGGACAATCCTTAATGCTAAATGTACAGTTAAGAAGTTGAAGTGTAAATACAGGATATTTTCACTTCAGATTACATTAAATGTAATGGAAATTACTGTATTTGTGTATTGTTCATGCATAAGTTCTGTTTATAGCAGATATATTTAACTTGTATATCCTCTGTTCCCTGATTTTTAAATTTAAGTGGAGAGATTTTAAAAATATTCACTATTATATTAAATAAACCTTTAACTTCTGTTTAAATTGCTTTAAACTTCTTACAGCTAGAACTAAAATGATTTAGGTGAATTCCTTTTGGGTGACACTGTCCTGTCTGAGAGTGGGTATTTCGTGTGCAATTACTGTTTTGAGCTAATGTTGTTTTGTTTCTTGATCTGTATATACAAAACAACAAGCTTGAATCTCCTTTCAAGCTAGAACTCCAGAGACTCAGTAATATTTTTTTTCTGCTGACTGTTTCCCCTCCCTTTTTCTTTATACAGGCTTTACTAGCACTGGGCATCAGTCAGTCTGCAAGGACACCAGACTCTAGTCATCCGTAAGCTTCTGGAGTAAATAATTAAGTTTCAAATATCATATTCAGGCTTAAAATCACTTCCTATTACTTGTGTACAACAAATATGTTTGAGAAATAGACTATTTAAATTATTTGTTATCAAACTTTTTAGGCTCAAGGTATCCTTCAGTAGATTTTAGGAATATTCTGTTAGACTTGAGGCATCCTTCAGAAAATGGTAGCTCCTAAGTTTACATTCCTTTTTTGATTATGGAAGACACCAGCAATTTTTTCTGTTGCAAAGAGCCCAGAAAGACCACAGCAAGGCAGTGTGTTTAACACTCTGGATTCCTGTTGGAAATCTCTTGTGAAAAATGTTTGTACACCAAAAAGTACTAACATTGTGTGACACTGCAGCACCCTCAAAAGGACATCAAAGCACCCCAATGTGCTTTGGTACTCTGGTTGAGAATCACAAATTTAAATAAAATGAGATAAATTGCACTGGGCACCTCTACATGAGATGCGAACTATGTAGTATTCTGATAACCCTGTGCAGTAGCACCATCACATTATGAACAATGCTAATATGCTACTGCACAGTATTATTGGGCTTCTGTGCAGTAGTGTCACTAAAAAGGCATTTGGTGCTACTGCGCAGTAACTCTGGTTACTGTGCACTTAAATTAGTACTTTTAGACAAGTACTAAATTAAATGCACAGTAACCACTGTGCATTAATGAACATATAGACACGCCCAGTTTGTTTCTGGTTTTGTCCCACTCTATTAATCAGCAGAATTTGAATATATTTAGATAAAACGTTACTCAAGTAAAACTAAAATTTTCATTTTTCTAATCTGAAACGAATGGTTTCTACATTTACTATAAAATAATAATAAAAAGGGATTTCTGCCAAAGTCAAGAATTATAAAATCTTATGGCTTTTAGGGAATTTCACTTTGACATATTAGCTTATAATTTTACAGAGTACAAAGTGTGTGTTTTTTATTTTCATTACTTCAGTGTCCTTTTATTTTAAGGAGAGTGTTTTATGGGTTCTGTTCTTCCCCCCACCCCTCCACTATATGTAGTAGTAGATATATACCAATAGATATCTAGTACTACATTCTTGCTTTCCTGCATGAACAGCAATGAACTTAGCCAAAAGTAATAAAAGACTACTTTTCACCTTCAAAACAGAGTTTTCAGTGAGGAAACGCTCCATTTCAGGTGTGATGTAACAAGAGGTTCTTGGCTTAAACACATTAGTCTTCATTTTAATTACCCTTTCACTAATATATATGTCAATTTTTATAGCCTTGTGAAAGTTTGGAGTTGTAACTTTTCTGATAGGTTTAGGTTGACACTATAAAAATATGTGTCAATCAACCAGTCAATGAAGATAATCTGTTTCCTTCCAAACTGTTAAAATGTCTGTCAATCTAACATCTGTTCACCAAATTGAACAAGATAGTCTTCAATCAAGAATTTGGTATAGCATCAACTTAGTCTTCTTATTTAAGCTTACACTTACCAGACTTTAACCTTCATTTCTTTTTCCTTTCTGCCACTCCTCTCCATTTCCTTGATGGTTCCTATAGTCTACACTATTATCATTTTTGCAATGCTGGTAGTCATATTTACAGTGGGAGTGGCATGTAGTACAGTGGTGTATTAAAATGCTATTTTAATTCTTGGCAAAAATGCTTCAAACTGAAAATTGTTGGAGGTTCACAGTCAGCTGAACTATTAAAATAACATTAGCAAGTTTTTTTGTAGTATTAATTTAAAGGAAATGAAATGTGGAGACCAGCTTTACATAAAGGCTAAATATTCCAATTAAAAGCAACATTGCAAGGAAATGTAAATGCTGTCCTGTTCATTAAACACTTGAATGCATTTTGAAAAACATAACTTAATTAGTAGCTGTGGTACATAATACTGAATGAATGCAACTAAATATGACTAGCTTATGTAGGGAAGAGGATTAAAAAACAAACAAACCCTAAACTTAAATGGCATTCAAGCAACTTGGTACATATTTAAGAAACAATGTATAAGGTTGCTGTAGTCTTTGGTTTCATTTTGATTTTAGCGACTGTGCTTTAATTTAGATATTCAGCCATATTGCAGCTAGTCATCAAGACACTTACTTTTCTCCTTTCTTGTCAGATTTATTTGAATATAATTGTAAAGTTGCAGGTATCTTGTTTTCTAAACTATTTTTTTTGTTCCTGCCTAGATATGGTTTCACCAACATGCGTTATATTGCTTCCCTAATTAGCGGAGTCGGCATTTTCATGATGGGTGCAGGACTTTCCTGGTATCATGGAATTATAGGTTTACTTCATCCTCAGCCCATAGAATCTCTTCTTTGGGTAAGTTGATTTTGTTTTAATATTTATAACCTTGCGTGGCAAGCATGGCTTAATGTAATGTAACCCTACAATCTGAAATATCTAGGCTTCCTGAATCCCAAAGTCAACTTTAAATTTCAGCAGGGTTAATCCAACCATCTGAGGTAGTACATTCTGTAGAATTTGCGGTTTTCTTGGGAGGCTGTTCAGGATGAAACCGAAAAACCAAGTTTCTGTCTGCTTTGCTTTAACACTAATAACAGTTTAATCTGCTTTATGAGCGTTTTGGGCTGTCCTGATGTCTGTCCTCAGACAGCACTTCTTTACACTCTTCTTGTATTGTTCAGTATATTGTAACTTGGCTCTTTGTCAGCTGCTATCCTGCAGCTAGAGGTGGATGCATTGTTGTCATGGGTAAAATCATTCTTGTACATGAGATGATTGTGGATATTTTGAAATTTAAAGTATTCATGCACCTATGAGTTTAGTACTGCATTAAAGTGTCTTTTTTCCCCTTCTTCCCCCCCCCTTTTATAGGCGTATTGCATCTTAGCAGGATCGCTGGTGTCTGAAGGAGGTATGCAGTGTCATGGAATTCTTAAACTGATAATGCAGGCTTGGGAGTCAGTTCAACTTTTAATTCCAGAACTGAACAATTCTGAGCTGTGTTACTAATAGTGGCATTGCTAGATATTCAGGAAGACTTGCTGAGTTCAATTTACTTGTGTGCTTATTAGTGGGGTTTTTTTGCTTTATTGTCCTTCAAAAGGAAAAAAGTATTATCATTTTCTGTTTTCTTGGGTTATATTAATTGTGTAGATTGGAGAATACATATAAAATGTCTGGAACTAATCTGAGAAAAATGCACAGTTTGCTTTTTGGCACTGTGAAAATTCAACAGTATGTTGTTGTGTTCAGAGAGACTAGTGCGTAAAGATATTACTTTATGAATTACCACCATTCAAAATACTGATTGCCATATGCTTTATTGGTGACCTATTGCATGCAAGTGTATGGATATTTGTTAGATTAAAAAAAAAAATTTTGTGGCATATAGATACAGAATTAAAATTCCTAAATATTTTGTATTTTGACACACTTGAAATATAACATTTAACTTTTAAATTCTTCAGATACTTTAACTTGCTCTCTTTTGGATAAAAGCTACTGCATTTGTTTAACATGTTTACCCTTTTATGTGCATAATGTGCTAAAAGAATTTTTGCTTATAGTCAGCAGGAGAGCTATAATTATTTTTGCTGTGATTTTTGAGCAAGAGTTTTTTAGCCTCTCTTCCCCCTCCTTAGATCATAACCATAAATGTCACTTCGCCTCTAACCATTTCCAGTAACTATATTACTTTTGTTTCAGCTACTCTTCTTGTTGCTATAAATGAAATTCGAAGAAGTGCCCGAGCCAAGGGTCTCTCATTTTATCAATATGGTACGTGTCCTTATCTCAGTAAAGTATGCGCCATATTTAAAATAGGATTTATTAGTGGTATTTCCACAACAATATGAATATGTAGCTAACTATTTTCTCTTGCTTCACATGTCTCATGATGATATGTTATATAATAACATGTTCGTTTCACAAATTTGGATAAAATCTTATTGGCTTATTTGGTGATACTTAAATATCTGAGTAGCAAAATAGTTGCATTTAAGGATAAATTTCCCATTAAGATCTTTTGGGGAAATTTCCATAATAGATATAGGGCATGTTTTTTGTTTTTCTGAAAGGGGTTGTAAAATATGACTGTAGAAGCCTTTACATTTGTCTGTGTCTACACTTGGATAAATGATGGGGCAAGCTAAAATGTGAACATCAATGTCATTTTTATTACATGTTCAGTCATACAGAGTTGTGATCCCAGTACAAACGTAGTGTTAATGGAGGATGCTGCCGCAGTTTTGAGTGTAGCAATAGCTGCTACTTGCATGGGTCTGACTTCTTTTACAGGTAAATGCTATCTTAACCTGAGGCTGATTTGTATATGAGATGATAATCATGTTTTGCGTACATGACATCAGTAAACCTATTTGTCTTATTCTTATTGTACTAAATGTATACGTCTTGATTGCTGCAAGAATCTGTCTCTTTTGGGTTATTGGATTTCTCACTATGTTCTAACCTTTTTAAAAAAAAAAGAAAAGAAAAGGAAGAGTCTGTTGTTGAAAAAGGAAAAAAACCCTGCCAGACTTGACAGCAGACATTTTTTCAATTTTTAAAATAATCTATTCATTACTTATAAAATGTATGATTTATGGCCAACAGATAGCATGCTGCTTGGCTTCTTTTTATGCAAAGCACTGCCACCAAGATTATATGTATTTCTGCTTCTTAGCCAGTTCCTTCAATAATACGGTTTCTCGGGTATCATTCAGTTACATTTCATATTACAGTAAAAAAGTTCATATTAAAATCTGTGTCAGTCAAAACTGGTGAATCTGAATTTTTAACTGTATATTTAATGAAAATCTATCTCTGCCTCTTTGAAGAGACTTCATTGTGGCAAGTTTCCACAGTTTATACTAATAGTTAATCTGATTTTAAATCTAATCAGTTTAAGATACTTGAAACTAGGAAATAGTTGAACAGTCTCTCCTTTTCTCCACAGAACCTGTTACTGGTGGAGCTATAGTATTGCAAAAATGCATGTTTTATAGGATAGGTATTGCTACCATTTTACCTAGCTTAAATTAGACAAGTTCTAATAGATGCTCTTTCTTGAAAAAATACATGTTAAAACAAGATAAAGACTTCTATCAGTTGTATATGTAAATTGCCCACTTTAGTGTGAAAGTATGATCCCATACTGGGATGATACCCACAGCCTCATTGTTGGACCGTTAGCTGCTCTACTGTACATAAGGACAGGATTTAAGGATGAGATTCTTTTCCCTTCATCCAGAAAGTGGAGCAGCTTTGGGGAATCAGGGCAGACATTTAATTAGTGCCAAAGATATTCAGCTGCTCAAATAGTCTCCAAATTCAGGAGATAAGTATTCTGTGTACAGTAACATATTCAGTGACCCTAAAAATTGTTCCACACAAGAGTTGTAGAGAGAAGCTATGTAACGGGCTAGTTATGTTCAGAGTACTATGCTGTAGTTCCTATGTCAGGCTTTCTAACTTGAAAGAAAGGGGACAGTGTCTTTTGCCTGCGAGTGGACACAGTTTTCTAGAGCTGGCTGTGTACTCAATTATTCAAAAACCTTTTTCTTCTTTTTCTTTTGTCTTTGACTCATGCATGAAATAGTTTACTATATAGTGCTCTTCATACAAAATATAAAATTAAACTATGTACAATTTTTGTTTTAATTTTTTGAAATGCCCATTAAAATGGGCATTTAAAAATCCAGACTGCATTACTGTTTCAGTCCGAAGATAGATTTATTGCTTGCATATTTTTAAGGGAAAATAAGATTAAAAAAAAATTCATTTATAATTTTTTTCTCCCATTTCAACATCAAACGGATTAATTAATTAATTTGTGTCTGTCCTTTTAATGAGTAAAGTAACTTTACCTTCTAAATAGCATGGCAAGTGACTTGTTGTTTTGATTGGTGCTGATGCACTTTTTTTTTTTTGTCATGTCCATGCCCTGGAATCTGAGTGCCCAGTGAAATGGGCTATGAATTTGTAAGTTGTATGGTAGGGAAAGGTGAGGCATGTAAGGCTTGTTCTGTGTGCATTGGAGCATTGTTTCCATTTATCTTGTCTGTCAGAAATAAAGGGCAGGGTTACCAACACGTGCTCTGAGAAATAGTAGTACCAATGTTAGATACCTTTCAGTATTTAGGATTTATGTTTTTGCCTCTTTTAGAAATATTTGATATGTCTGACTGTGGGTATGTCTTGTTTAGGCAATTCTTACTATGACAGCATGGGGTCTTTAGGGATAGGATCTTTGTTAGGAGCTGTTTCGGCATTTCTCATCTACACCAACACAGAAGCACTTTTGGGACGGTCCATCCAACCTGAGCATGTACAGCGACTAACTGAATTACTGGAAAGTGATCCTGTTGTAAGGTAAGATGAGGATTTTGACCGTATAAAATCTGTCTATTGAGCAGATAAAGCAGGAAACTAGTCTTTGAGGTGAGTAGTTCAAGGCTATTCAAACCTGAGAGCTGGAATAATAGTAAACAGAAAATCAGAGATACCTATATTTCATTGGTCCTGAACATGGAATATATTCGGATCAGGACTTTTAACATACACTTATATATTTTTTTCTATTCACACCCTGAAAATGTTGATGACTGAATTTATAAACATGAGTATTCAGGCTTGGCTAACGTAAAACTGTCAAATTAATTTTGTCTTGTATTAGGCTATTAACAATGGCAATTGGCATAAGACTTATGAAGGAAAGGGACATCCTAAAATAACTTGAACATTATGTCCATTTTATCTACAATTTAATTTAAAGCGACCATTTACTTTCTAAATCTATAAAGAAATTAGCATGTTATAGAAGTGAGCTTCCATTGCTGCTTTTAGAGTTTTTAATATTAGCATTTAAAATATATAAACACTGTCCTTATTACTCTGTTTGTTGCCCCTGGAGTACTATTACACTTTGCTAATTGCCACAAGAAGAAAAATAGCATAACAGCATTGATTCTGCAGCAATGTTACTACCTACTTGTAGAAATAACCTAGATTAAGGGATAGCCATTTACAGATTCCAAAGAAATCAGGCAGGATATTTAAAGTGATGTCATGAAAAATTTTACAAAGCCATACTTCTATTTTTTTTTTTTTTTACTTATTCTTTTTATTGTTTAGAATGCTTGAGGATCATAGGAAAGTAGGGCTAGACAGGACCTCACAAAATCATCCAGTCCAGCCCCTGTTCAAGGCAGGATCATTCCTGACTAGACTGTTCAGTCAAGTGTCTGCTTAACTGGCTCTTGAAAACTTCCAAGGATGGAGAGTCCATGGTTTCTCTAGGGAGCCTGTTCCAATGCTTTCATAGTCAGAAAGGTACTCCTGATCTGCAATCTAAATTTCCCCTGCTGAAGCTTGAGGCTGCTGTTCCTGGTCCTTTTAATTTCATTAATATTAAAGCAAGCTGGCCTTTGCTTCTAAAAGCCCTTAGTCATGGCTGTATTTTCTTAGTATGTGACAAGTCATAGCTGGAATACCATATGTATTTAAATCCAAGATGAGGTGCCTCTCCCCACATTTAACATGGGGCTGGTAGAAGCTCATAGTTTTGTATTTTAGTACAAGTGGTGGGTGAGGAGCAAGCAGCTGCTTTGATGCTGACCCCAACCCGAGATTGCAGCCACAGCCACTGCTTCCCCCCCCCTCTTTTTCCCACTGCCTGTCATCCCTCCTCTCTTTCCTGCTGCTGTTGCCGATTCTCCATAGCTCCAGCTCCAGGCCTGCTTGGGCACAGAACACGTGGCCACTCTGGCCCCTGCCCAGCCATGCAGCAGCAGCTCTGGATCCATGCTGGATAAGTTTTAAGTACTTTACTTTACTTTTCCATGCATTTCACTGTCCAAAACAGTAAGCAGATGCATTGAGTTCATTTTAAAGTACTTCTATGTTAGCAAAATGTTGCATCATTCAGATTGCAAATAACATATCTGAGCAGTATGTTGTGAATTAAGTAATTTTTGCCATGGCCCTGAAGACCTATGAATCCTGCTCAGCTTTAATGTAGTATTGTATTTTTTTCACATATACCCACCTTTTCCCTCTGAAAATCAACCTGCCAAAGCTGGATTATGTATTTTAATCAGGGAAGCTGTTTTCTTTACTGGGAAAGGAACACTCCTAGAATTGCTGCATGGTGTGCAGCTGCCAAGATGATGGTTGCTTGTGGGGCCAGAGCCCTGTAGTAACCCTCATAACAGTAGTTGGTTTGAGCACTGTATCTTATACCCAATGCAGGGAGGGAACTGTTGGTAGTATCTAGATGAGGCTAGCGATTTGGAAACAATACTTTTATTTGCAGGAACTTTAAAGTAAATTTTTTATAAAAGTAAAGAAGAAAGCCTTACTCCTTTGCAAGGGTCTGAGATGGGTGGGCAAAAGCTGGGTGACAGTGACCACGAGCTGATCACCTTCAACATCCGCTGTAAAGCTGGCAAGTGAGTCAGCAACACGGAAGTCCTTGACTTGAGGAAAGCCGACTTTGACAAGCTCAGGAGGCTTGTCAGTCAGGTCATAAGGGACCATGACCCCAGGGAGAGGGGAGTTCAAGAAGAGTGGTTGTTCCTCAAGGGAGCGATCCTCAGTGCACAAGCTAAGTCTGTTCCATCCCGGGGGAAAGGCAGC